CACATTGTACCATGTGTCAGTAGTTCACTATTTTTAGAGCTAAATAGTACTCAATTGTGCCATGTTTTGTTTTGCCAATCATTGGCTGATATTTAGATTATTTCCAATGTTTTGCTACATTAACAATATTGCTATCATTCATGTAAAAGTCTGTGTGTACATATATATTTATTTCTATTGAAGTGGGATTGCTGGGTAATATGGTATAAGTTTATATTTATACATAAAACTTTTCTTTTTTAAAGAGACTAAGCCTCTCTACATTCTAGACTGGCATGCAGTGGCTAGTCACAGCTGTAATCCCACTACTGATCAGCACAGAAGTTTTGACCTGCTCTGTTTCCAACCTGAGTTGCTTCATCTCTCCTGAGGCAACCTGGTGGTGTCTTCTTCCCAGGAGATCACCATATTGATGCATAACATTGCAGATACCTGATCAGCATAGTGCACTATTGCTCAGAACTCCTGAACTCTAGGGATCCTCCCCACTCAGCCTCCTGAGTAGCTGGGTTTACATGTATCCAACACTGTGTCTGGCTATGTTTTCAAGAAGTTGCTAAATGACTCCAACAAGTGTGTATATCATTAAACATTTAGCAATTTATGAGAGTTGCCGTTTTTCACATCTTTGTCATTACTATGTATTGTCAATTTTTGGCTTATACCCATTTAATGGTAATGTGGTGGTATCATATTCTGGTTGTAATTTGCACTTCCCTAATGACTAATGTTGAACATCTTTTCATGTGCTTATTAATCATTTGTATAACTTTTCTGTGAAATGTTGGTTAAAACATTTTATTTGTTTTTAATTGAATTGTTTATCTTCTTAGTTTTGATATTTAGAAGTCCTTTATATATTGTAGACACAGGTCCTTTATCAGATATTTGACCTAGGAATTTTATTCCAGGCTGTTATTTGTCTTTTCACTTTCTTATTGGTATCTTTTCGAGGGCAAAACATTTCATTTTTATAAAATGCAATTTATCAATTTTTTCTTTGATGGATCACAATTTTGGTGTTGTATCTAAGAAACCTTTCCAAAAGCAGGTCACAGAGATTTTCTACTGTTTTCAGATATAATTTTAGCTCTTACATGTAGGTCTGTGATATAAATTTTTTTCTGTATGGTGTGAGGTAAGAATTTAAGTTCAGTATTTTGCATATGAATATGCAATTATTCCAATAGTAATTCTTTAAAAAAACATCCCTTTCACTATTGATCTGCCTAGGCATCGTTGCTGTAAACCAACTGATTGTAAACATATTAATTTCTGTACCTGCTATATCATTGATCTAAGTGTTATCATTATGCCAATATTACATCCTATTATTGTAGCTTTATAAGTTTTAAAATTAGCATTGCAATCATTATCTTTTTTTACAGGATTGTTTTTGATATGTCTTTCCATTTTATTCATTTTTATGTATTTATTTTTTTATTCATTTTTGAGATGGGATCTCATTCTGTTACCCAGGCTGGAGTTCAGTGGTATGATCACAGCTCACTGCAGCCTTGACTTAGCGGGATCCAGCCATCCTCCCACCTTAGCCTCCTGAGGAGCTGGGACCACAGGTGTAAGCCACCATGCCTAGCTAAATTTTGTATTTTTGGTAGAGATGGGTTTTTGCCATGTTGCCCAGTCTGGTCTTCAACTCCTGAGCTTAAGCAATCCACTCACTTCAGTCTCTCAAAGCACAGGGATTACAGCCATGAGCCACTGCACCCGCCCTGTATTTCCATTTTAAAGGGGACTTCTAAAGCCTATTAAAATGCTTGCTAAGCTATTAAAGAGATGACATCTAATCTATAGATCAGAGGTCTTATACTTGTTTTCTAAAATTTATTCTTAAATATTTTCTTCTTTCTCATGTTAACTGGTTTTCTAAAATTCATTTTCAGATTCCTAGTTCCTAGCATATAAAAATATAACTGCTTTCTATATATTGATTTGTATTTTGTGACCTTGTTAAATTCATTTGTTAGGTTCTAGTAGGATTTTTTATATATAAGATCCACTAATCTGTAAATAAAGATAGCTTTACTTTTTCCTTTCCCATCGATATGCCTTTGATTTATTTTTCTTTCCTACACTAGCTAGAACCTCCAGGAAAACATTAAATAGAAAAGATGATAGTGGACATCCTTATTATTCTCTTATCCAAGTACTAATGAGCTCCGTCCCTCCTTGGTTTCTTTTTCTTTATCTCTTTTTTTTTTTTTTTTTTTTTTGAGATGGAGTCTTGCTGTATCACCCAGGCTGGAGTGCAGTGGCACGATCTTGGCTCTACAGGTACCCACCACCACACCCAGCTTATATTTGTATTTTTAGTAGAGATGGCATTTTGTCATCTTGGCCAGGCTGGTCTTGAACTCCTGACCTCACGTGATCTGCCCGCTCCAGCCTCCCAAAGTGCTGGGATTATAGGTGTAAGCCACCACGCCCGACCCCTCCTTACTTTCTGAGATCAGACATCATGTATGTTCAAGGTGGTATGGCCATATACTTTACTCTCAGAAGGAAAGCATAGAGTCTTTCAGCATAAATATGTTGTTATCTGTTGGAATTCATAGATGCACTTTATCACACTGACAAAGTTACCTTCTATTGCTAATATGTTGAGCATTTTACCATGAATTGGTGTTGGATCTTGTCACTTGCTTTTTTTCTGGCATATATTGTCATCTTCATTTTTTTTTAATTTAAAAAATTCACTAAACTACACAGACATGTGGCAGGTTCTGAAAAGATGATGTATTAGCAGGTACTGTTGTCTTGCTCTTCTGATCCAACCCGAGATGCACAGAAAACAACAACAACAACAAAACTGTGGCCCAGGGATGTAAAGGGCCAGGCATCATGGTTGAAGGATAGAGTGGGGGCAGATATCTTGTGAATGATTTATTTTTTCTCCCCTGTTGCTCTAATAAGCTTCTTTCTACCTCTATGGAGCAGACAAAGAGCTCTGAAGTTAAGGAAATAATGAGGTCATATTTTCTGAGATTTATTTCAAGAGAACTTCAGACTTAGCATTTTACAACAGCCCTCTAGTGTGGTTGTCATTTGATGTTCCAGTGTTAGCACTGAGTGAAGAGCTACTTTCCAACTGGAGATGATGGTTGACTTGCCAGGTGCCCTGCATCTGTCTGATAACCTTCTTTACTTAAGCTTTTCACAAAGCTGCTGGCTATATGGGTTCTGTCAGCAATTAGCACACTTCCAACATAGGTTGACTTATGGTAAGTGTCACCTTCATTTTGCAGAACAGTTTTGCTAGACATAGAGTTCTTGATTGACAGGTTTTTTCTTTTAACACTTTGACTATGTCCTTTTACTACCCTCTAGTTTCTTTTGTTTTTAATGAGAGGTCAGCTGTTGATTTTACTGTGATTCCCTTGTATAAATGAGTTATTTTCTTGCTGCCTCAAAATTTTCTTGTCTCTGTCTTTCAGCAGGCTAAGACATATCTAGTTGTGGATCTCTTTATGTTTATTCTACTTGGGGTTTGCTGAGTTTCTTTGGCGTGTGAATTAAGTTTTTTTTGTTTTTTCTTTTTTTTTGATACGGAGTCTCACTCTGTTGTCAGGTTCGAGTGCAGTGGCATGATCTCGGCTCACTGCAACCTCTGCCTCCTGGGTTCAAGTGATTCTCCTGCCTCAGTCTCTGGAGTAGCTAGGACTATAGGCGTGGGCCACCATGCCCAGTGAATTTTTGTATTTTTAGCAGAGACAGGGTTTCACCATGTTGGCCAGGATGGCCTTAATCTCTTGACCCTGTGATCCGCCTGCCTTGGCCTCCCAAAATGCTGGGATTACAGGCATGAGCCACCATCCCAGGCTGGATTAAGATTTTAAACAGAGTCAAGAAATTTTAGAACATGGCTTTTAAAAATATTTTTTCTATACCCTTCTGTCCCTCCTTTCCTTCTGGAGCTCCCAGAATAAATTGATATACTCTGATTCTGTCCCACAAATTCCAGCAACTTTGTTCATTTTTCTTCAATCTTTCTTCTATTCTTTAAGTTGGATAGTTTCTATTAGTCAGTCTTTAAGTTCACTGATTTTTTGTTCTGCCATCACAGAGTTGCTATGGAACCCATATAGAAGAATTTTAAATTGTTATATTTTTCGGCTCTAAAAATTTTCATTTGATTCTTTTTCATTGTTTCTATTTTGCTATTTATAGTCCTTATCTGTTGAGTCACTTTTTAAGTTTTAAAATATGCATACACTAGCTGTTTTGAATTAGTTGTCTACCAAATCCAACAAGTGGGGCCACTTAGAGTATCTAATGGCTGATTATTTTCCTGAATTTCAGTCACATTTTCCTGTTTTTATGCATGTCTCAATTTTTTCTTGAGAATTCAATATTTTAAATAAAATATTGTAGCAATTTTGGATGATATCTGATTTTTCTCCTGAGGAATTTTTAAATTGCTGGAACTTAAACATCAGAATCTGGTTCTCCTGCATTGTACAACCACTGATGTCTCTGATAAATTATTTTTATTTTCTAGCCTGATTCCTAAAATATACAATAGAAATACAGGTTCCAATATTTTCTTCCCACACCAGTGATGTTGCAAAATGATTCTATCCTTAAAAAACAATTATATCACTAATTTTCTCAAAGTTCTTCTCATATCTCCCACTTCAAAGGATGAAAATTGATAATTGAGGAATATAGGGCTTTGACGTGGAAGAGTCGAGGGTAGAGACACTGCACTAAAAAAAAATTCTTTCACCCAACTCAGTATTTGGGTAAAAAATCAATAATTTGATACTACATAGGTAATTCATTTTCTATTACTTGCTTATTAAAAAAAAATAGGCTGTTACTCTTCATAGTCCAACAAGTCATAGTATCTGTTTTCTTCTGTTGTAAAATATTTGCATGATTTGTAAATGAAGCCTTGGATAGCAAGCAACAGGGACTCACTAAAGGCAAACAAGGAAAAGAATGGAGTAGGGATGATCACAGAAAACAAAAATCTCACAAAACAGTAAGAAAATAAGTTTATTTAAGTGTGACCTTATGAGAAGAATAGCGTACAGAAGGAAAAACACTTTTCCTCTATTTTCCTAGGTTCAATGTCTGAGAATTAAACTGATAAAAGACAGACTGACAAGAGAAGAAAAACATTTAACTACATATGTACAAAAAAGGCTTCACAAAGAAATGTAACTCAAGGAGGCAATTAGAATTTTGGACATATACCATCTCAACAGAAGTGATTAAATGTGGAGGAGAGGCTACACAAAGGAAAAGGGATATGGGGCTTCTTGTGGAGAATACGGGCAGTGAGGGAAGTTATGGAAAGATGCTGGGAAATGTAACATAAATAAGGGTTGTTTAGTAAGGTTTGTTATGTGCATAAGTGTCCTCTCCAGTAATAAGAGTTATATCCAAGTAGATCCTTTCCTGGTATTAGAGAGGGAGACAGCTTTACAAATGGAAATTCATGGCCTACTTTTAGACAGAAAAGCAGGAGGGAAAATAGTTTTTCTCATATCTCCTATTTCTCAATTGCTTTCAACTCAAAATAATCCTTATGCCAAAATGGCACATTTTGGGGAAGGCATATTGTGGCCCCTTCAGTAGGAACCCAGAAAACATCAGGACTAAGACAGCTGCTCTCTCTGGTTCACTTTATCTCTCAATTTCAAATTCCCAGGAAAAGAATCTGATTGGCATCATTACCAACCAGTAGGAGTCAATGGTCAGGCAATAGATTGACTACATGAGTCAGGTCTCCACAGGGGCTGATGCCATGTCAGATGCATTGTTAGGAGATGTGAAGGGCTGCCTCCTTCAAGGACTGTGGATATAGGCACTAGGAATCATGTTTATTACACATACCAGATGTTTGTCACCATTCTGATTTTATAAAGTTATTAAAATCCCATGACCCCATTGTTTTCCAAGAGGTAGAACAACCTAGAAGTTTCATATACCAAAAAAAGTAACCCTTTTTTAATTGCTTAGCAAAGCTGAGTTTCAAAACCTCTATTCAGTTCTATCATACTTTATCTGATTTTTCTACATTGAACAGCTAATCCCATCTTTTCCTAATTCTCTCCCAACAGTCTGATTTCAATTTTTTATTGTTCAAAGTCAGGTTTCTCCAAGAATTAAGCAAATTAATAAATACTGGCAGGTGCTTCAGTAGTTTAAGGCAGTGAGGGACACAGTCATGACCATGATGTGGATCCTATCCTCTAGGGGAAAAGGCTCACACAAAAATAACCGCACCATGGGATATGGAGTGTGAAGGGTCACAACAATACAGTAAGGCAGAACTCACCCTCTCAAGAAGGGGGAGGGCCAGGAAACTTTCCAAAAGTTTTTACAGGTGATTATTAGGCTGAGCCACGGGAGAATTTGTACAAATATATTAAGAGAATGACACTGGGGTGGAGTTCAGCCAATTCTGAAACCACCAGAGCCAACAGAGCGGAACTATTACTAAGCCCTAGTAACCCTCCTCAGGCCCCGCTTATTCCACTACTCTCTTTTCCTCCTTTGCCACCTACTTGTTTTAACATTCCTCTTTAGAAATAAAACCCCAAACTATCAGTATTGGTATACTTTCTGAAGATTTTTATCTTCACCTCCCAAGTATGAGAAGAGACTCAGTTTTCCTGCTTCCTCCTATTCCTTGCTGCCTCTGCTATGCTTCTTAGGGAATTTACCACTAATCTTTATGGGAGAATATGAAAATAACAAACATTGGAAAGTTACAGAGTTTTCATAATCTTAAAAGTTTCAGGTTGACTTCTTTCTGAGCTGGTAATTGAAAGTTGTTTGGATTTCTGCTGTTTACTTTTGTTCTTCAGGGTGGAGTCATCAAACCTCTTAATATTCTAACCTTGCCCTCAACCCGAGTGTCAGCTGGAGCACAGGCCCTCTTCCCACCCCTACTTTCCAGCACTTTCCCCAAGGTGACCAGGCTAGTAGTTTAAATCATCCTCTTCTCAAGCCAGTCATTTGCATTTCTGTGGATCCTCAGGCTAAGTGACAATGGTTTCACTCCTTCACTGGAAATCTGGAATTGGGCCATTGCAACTTGGAAGTAAAGGACATTTTTGTAGGAGAGAACTTAATTGGCAAAATAAGCTACGATTTTGAGGAGAAAGAGCAAAATCATCAAGATCATTTCAGTTGTATTCAAGAGCCAAAACATTGGTGAAAAAGTAGAAACGTCAAGAAATTCCCTTCAGACAGTTTATTGGTGAAAAGAAAGGCAAGAAGATGGAGATTGTGGTAGGGTAGAAGGAAGGTGGTTTTGCCAAAGGCCAGATATTTGGAAGGTTTAGGAAAAATCATCAGAGGTGAGGGTATAACACATCGTCTAAGAAAGAAATTATAATTACTAGAGCAAAATCCTGGTAGAGAGAAGATGGTTCATGTTTAGGAGCATATGTGGAGTATGAGCTTTGAAGAGAAATGTGGATACCCCTACTCAACCAGGACTGAAAGAGGTGAAGATGTATAAAAACTGAGACTGAGGTTTAGGAAAGTTAAGTTGAGGAACCTCATGGTGGATCCTTCATTAGAGTATGAGGCAAGATCATTTTGCAGAAGTGGAGGAAAACCACATAAAGTGGGGGCTTGAGGAGATCAGACATAGGACACGTTTGGAAGTGGCCCAGATAATGTTCCCGGATAAGTGTTCTGGATAATCATCCTCCTGATGAGGAAAGGAATTGAGAATCAGTGAAGACCAGCCAAGTTTGAATAGCATGAACTTTAAGAGGAATGAAGTGATCATTTAACCTTATCTAGCAATGCTTAGTAGTGCAGGAGCAAGTTGAAAAGAAAGCTTTCAACTAAATACAAAAATAAAGAAAATAATTAATGTTGAGTGACAACTTATTTCAGAGGACATATTCATGGTGGATTTTTAGTAACAATTTAATTATGACAAACATGAAATCTACAATGTCAAAATAATCATCTGAGAAAAACATACAAAAGACTATTGGAGTAATAATAAAATGAGCTTTTTTCTCCTTCTTTCTATGCTAGCCTAAGGCAAGAAAAAAGAAAAGACCCATTTTTCTTTCCATTAGACACATTTTCCATTCATTCGATGTGACTGAAATTTTTAAAAAAGCAAAATCATTGGTATCTTATTATTAAACATATGTCATATAACAATTTGCATTTTACTTTTTCTGTTCTATAAACAAACTCACATATTAAAAAGCCAGAAGAAGTCAAAAACAGCCTATTTTCATATAGCCAGGCATGACACAACACTTCCTGGCCTCTGCTGATCCCTTCCCAATTCTGAAAATATTTAGAGGGAACATTCACATGTTCACCTGTTTTGTTCCACAGTCCAACTCTGAGTAGGATTGTCAACTAAGTTGAAATTTTACCACAAATGTGGAGAGATTTTTTTTTTCCAATCAAGGCACCATATTAACATTTCTTAGGTTACATCTTTATAATCTTCAATTACAGTAAGATAAAAACCAGTAGCAAAGCATATCACCCAACTTAAAATTCAGAAGAATACTTAGACATATGCAACTTGCACACACATTAATCTGTTTCTCTCAACAAATTATTTGTAATTTTCAAAATCCTATCAGCTTTTTCACACAACATGGTCCCTCCAATGTGAGGTGCAGTAATATGTACATAGTCTCCTTACTAAAAAGATTAGTTGAAAAATAGTAAAATGACCAAAAAAAGGAACATAAGAATATCGGTGGTTATAGGCTAGAGCAATATCATATTTTAAAGCCTAATATGTTCATGAAATTTCACTTTAAGAAGGTGGTATCTAAATATAAAATTTATTGACAAAAAATTAGTATTGACAAACTAGCACAAGATTATTTTAAATGAAAGTAGAAGACATTATTAAAGCTCAAGATTTTTGTGTGTACTGATTTTCATGCCTCAGGTGATTTCTATATCAAATTTAAAGAGAACTGGAAAATAGAAAACAAAATCCATCAACTGTAATCCATTTCTCTTACTCTTTCGTGAAATCATCAGAAGGCATAAAGGATTGTTTCTGTTTCCTGTCTCTTTATCAAGCCTGTAACCCCTCAAGTGAAAGAACATGCACCTGTCAAGCTCGTAGTGCAGGATGTACACACAGATGTGTTTAATAGATATCTGCCCACGGGAAGATTAGAGGTTTGCTTTGAGAATCAGGGAACAGGCTATCTTATGTGGTGACGCTTTGGCATCTATCATACAATCCGTCACCTTCTCCCTTACCAAAATATCATCAAAGGAAATCCTCTTTGAGTCTTCTTTGAGAAGGGATATGAGTTTGAAGACCCAAAACGTTGAAACAAGACAGGAAAGGGGGAGTGGTTGCGGAGAACAAGCCCAAGTAGGATTCAAGTGGCTCAGTGACGTCAGGAGGAAGGAGCGATGGAAGGGATGGGGTGCAACTCACCTAGAGAAGCAGCAGCTGCACAAACGTCAAAGGTCAGAGCCTAGCCTCAGGGGCTCCCCAAACGCAGGAAAAGTGAAACGCCCACTCCTGGCTCTCACTGTCAGGGGTACGTCTAAGGGCTCAGCTGTTCCTACCTTTGATGCCAGGGACAAACCCTTCCAGGCACAGTTGGGGCTGGCAGGAAGGCAAAGTGAAACCTGCCCCAGATTTCAGAGCCAGCACTGGGGAATCTCCCTGTCCTCCTCTCCGCCACCCCCTCCCGCGCCCGCGACTTGAGACACCCTCATCCTCACACCCACCTTCTCCAGGCCCTCTCGCGCTGAACAGCATCGGTCTCTATGGCGACCTGAAACCGCAGCTCCTATTGGTCCGTTCAATATGAGGGCCGGGCCAATGGGGAGGACCAGCCCTCTCCTTCTGGCCAATGGGGTAGCGGAAGCAGGCCCGGGGACGGCGGCGTGCTGACGTTCCCGGGAGCCCGGGTCTGGCCGGGCGGGCTGGCGGCGGGGCGGGCGGCGGTGGCGGCGGCCTCTGGGCAGTAGAGGGGGCTCCGGGACTGAGTCCGCGTCGACGCCGGCCGCGGAGGCGGCACCATGGGCAAAGGGTAGAGGGGCAAGTTGGCCACCGCCGCCGCCGGGGGTGGTGGGATAGCCGCTCCGGGGGAGGGGGCGGGTGGGGGAGGGAGGGGCGGGCAGCCGCGCGGCCGCGGCACTTTTTTAATTTTTTTCGGGTGCCGCAGCGGCGACCCCTCGGCGCCGATGTCTGTGATTCCTGGAGCGACGACGGCCGCTGCCTAAGCTGGAAAGTAAGTGTGTGGGCTCGCGGGAGGGCGCGGAGACCCCTGCCGTTGAGACCCTCGGCCCTGCCGAACATGCGCCGGGGCCGGGACCTGCGCGCCGGAGGCCGGCGCCTCCCTCCCGCTGCCCCGTCCCCAGCGCCTCGGCGGCTTTCCTGCCCCGCCTCGTGTTCCTGCCCGCACTCGCCTGCTGCTCCCCTCCCCCCGGCAGGCACACAAGTTTCACCCTCCATTTGCTTTTTCCGGCGATTCCTCTCCTCGATCTCCCTTACGAGCCGCGCAGGACCCCTCTCCACGCTGGGCTCTACGGATTTGGAGCCCCCAGCCCCGAACTTGAGCTCCGCGCGGAGCCCTGCTGGACGCCCTCGCGGCGGCTTCCCCGCTGCCGCCCGCCCGGCGTGCCGCCCTGCGCCCCCGACACCCCGGGGCGCCCGCCCTCCCCAGCCCTCGAGACCAGCGGTCTGTCCTTCCAGCCCCAGATCCTGTACCTTGGCCCCTTTCCCGCCTTTCCACGCCCATGCTGCCGGCGCGCTCTTGCGTTTGCCCCCGAAGTCCTGCACTCCTAGTCGGTCCTGCCCACCCCCTCTGCCCAGTGCGTCCCTCTCTGCTGGCCGCCGATTTTCACGCTCCACCCCTCTCGGATCCCCAGCCCCTAGCCTCGCCGCTGCCCTCCTGCGCCGCCTCTTCCTCCTCTCCCTGCCAGGAGTTGAAGCGGAGCCGGGGCACCCCCCTGGTGGATTGGTATCCCCGCCCGCCTCCGAGGCAGCCGGCCCTCTCCCCTGGACCGCTACCCGGAGAGCGAGCGGCGGGGCCGGGATTTGGCTGCGTATTGGCTGAGTGCGACAAACCGCGAGCGCAGGCAGTGGAGGCGCCGCGGCGGCTGTGGCCGCTCGGGGCGCAGCGGTAGTCAGGTGTGTGTGTACAGCGGGGGACGCGCGCTGCCGGCTCCTGGGCTGGCGACAGATTGTGCAGGAATGCGAGGAATGCACCAGGGGCTGAGTCCACACGGCCCTCCGCGGCTACACTAGCGCCTTTCCTCCCCAGCTCTCGCCGCGCAGCCAGAGGTCACCGGAGCATCTTCAGAGCTGGTGAGCCTCATTCCACTCTTCTCCTCCCATTGCTTCCCTCCTTGCGGCAGAGAGGGTGGCGGAGGGAAAGCACGGTAGTTCTTTTGGGCTCCAGCTAGCCTTTCGTCTGGGTTTTTGCTGCATTGGTCTTCAGGACCGTGAATTTGGGGCCGATGACTGTGTAGCCAAGGTTATTGATCATTGCACAGCCTGTTTGCAAGTTTGGTGTGCAAGGATTAGATAGTGCCTGGTTTTTACTAGGGTTTTCTGAAAACCAGCAGGAATAGGGGGCCTGAAGGTTCTTGAGAGTAATGAGCTTGCAGCCAACATATTTTAGCTATACCAGAAAATGACTGTGCTAATGGATGGCCATGTACTGCAAGAAAGATCTTGAATGCATCACTTCGGTGTCCTAAGAAGTGTAATTTTTTTTCCTTGTCATACTGGGCTGTTTAGACCTCGTATAATACATAATGAATAGAAACAGAGAAGCAGTGTTTGGTCAGCGATGGGACAGATAGAACTGTCTGGTACAGTTAAATTCGGGGTGTGTCAGTTACCATTGAAAGTAACACGGGAACACCACAATCATGTGTATTTCAAGATGTAATTTATGAGTGGAGGTTTTAGTTCTCTTTGTTACTGAGTTTGACTAAAAGAAATGCTGCCCTACAACTTTTAAAGAATAGTAATTATTTACGTGTAAAATCGATGATGGTTAGTATGCATTTTGGTCAAATTTTGTTTTTCTCAATACAGGAAAGGAAATTTTTGACAGAAAATGGTTCGCTAGAATTGAGCTTAGATTCTTTTTATTTTAAAAGAGAAAGTAGAAGAATGCTTCCCTTCTTGAATGCAGTATATTGCTGTAGGAGTATCTTCGTTTTGATGTCTGTGAAACAGTTATGGAAAATGGCAACATGAGAATGAGAACAACTAATGTCTGAAATAAGTGTTTCTGGGTGTTGAAAAGCATCCTATGTGTGTTTTTATTTGATACAATTTGCTTTGGAGGTTGCATTTATGATAAATCTCTTTGCACCTGGTTATTTTGTAGCAGTTTCGGTAAAATAAGTCAGTTGTATGACCAATCAGCTGTCTTCCAACACCTACTTTGTCTAGATCAAGGACATTGAAAAGTATTAAATAGGAGCCTTTAGTTAAGGACTCAACAGAAAGGAAAAAATAGAAAAAAAAAAAATACTTTGCACTCTGAAAAGTTTATCTTTTGATTGCTACGTTGTTTTTCAGCTATGTGCATAATCAGTGAATCTTCTAATTAGAGGTTTAATTTGTGTCCACTAGCATGTGGAGGATATTGGGAGGTGTTTGTAAATGCCAACAGGAAACTTTTATTATGTAACAATATCATATTACAGCAGAGTTTAACCCATGCTTAACCTGTGCTTATTTGACTTGATGTCAAGATTAGGAAGTATAAGCAAATTCAGTTTCTCTGCCTCATTAGAAACCGAAAACTCTGTTCAGATATATAGATCTCACACACACACACACACACACACACACACACGATTGGCTGTGCAAATAGTTTTGCCTGCTTCAGGTAAAGGTAAGCTTTCAGTTAGAAATGCTTTCTATTTGTTATAGGTATACGAAGAGAGGAAGTTTTTCAACTGGTGATCCTTCACAATTGAAAATAACCAAAATTGTATTTTGACCAAAGTGCATTCCCTCCCCACCCCCTACTATTATGTAAGGAGAGGGTGCTGCATCTGGTGTCTTATATATTATACTGAAGAGTCTAATTTGGGGAAGCTAATTTTCCAATTATTTTAATTTTTGGTTATATTGTTTTTGGAGGGAGATAAGGGAACGGAGAGCATTGATGGAAAACAAGGGAAGAAGAAACTAGGGGTAGCTAGTATGCAACTAGAAAATAAAATTATATACATTATTGCAGCAATAATGCATTTATAAGCTAAAAAAATCAAATCTAATTTTGTGACTAGTTCTGACATAATATTAATTGAAGGAAAGTATTACCAAATTCAGTTTAATAAAAACTTTAGTACTTGTATGACCTTGAGTATTTGGATTAGGTTTATGTTAAATCAGAATTGCAGTTTTCTTTATTTTCTTGTAGATAGACAAAGCAAATTTAACGTAAAAATTTGACATTCACTTAGATTAATTTAAAAAAATTCAATTATTGACAATTTTTGGCCTAAATTTTTTAAAATTTTGAGTAATTTCCATGCTTTTACCCAGGGATGAATTTAAATGGTATTCATACCCTGGCTGATGCCAACCATCAGGTAAGTCTAGCCTCTTATCTGACTCTTTTGAAATATTAAGGTATTTTGAGAAAGCTTTGTAATCTAATGTGTTTAAAAAAAAATTTTTTTTTCTATTTCAATCAAGCAGTAATTCCCTACCTTGCTTAACTCTAAAATGGACATCCTATCTTCATTCTTAAATGGAAGATAAAGTAGAGGTTACTCTAGGGTTATTTTAGGGCATAAACACCTATGGAATTGTACGTCAGTTTGGGAAGTTTGCCTTCACATCTTAAAGTGTACAGGGAGATAATTACTCCTTCTATGTGTTAAATGATTCTGTAGTGCCCTTCCTGCACTGAAGGGGGAAGACTCTGAAACGTAACACCAGTGGACTAGGTATGTTTGGAGAATTAAGTAACTGTTTCACTGCCAGACAATACTACAGACAGCTGCAAATAGAGAAAAGAAGGAAAACTTTTAAAATACATGGATGTAAGGTTTCATTCTTACATCCATGGAAGTGATGATAGCAGTCAGCAGGTCAGTTTGATGCTCAGTGGTAAGAAATAATAGGGTTATTTCAGGGTAAGATAATCAGGCCCTTAGTAGCCAAGCATGGTAATTGATGTACTTGCTGGTTTCAGTTCAGAAGTTGCACAACATTCAAATATTTCTTACATTGTCACTTTAATAATTCAGTGAAATTATCTTAATTTAGGGTGGGCTGTGTTACCATTACTAAACTGGAAATGTTACATGATGGTGCTCTTCAATTAAACTTGGGACTGTTGCAGACTTTTTTTTTTATCGTTGACCTGTTGTTTTTCCTTTTCATAATTTAGATTTACTTTTATTTTATATACCAATAAATGTTGGCTAAATCACTGATCATTTTATTATTCATAGTCTTGATAACATTATAGTTAATTATGACTCACATATATGATTCATTGCAGCTGATAAAATATTAGGGATTGGATTGTGAGATTTTATTACTACTAAATATATAAATTAAAATATGGAAGTGTGAATTACTGTAAGTCACATGATCGCAAAACATTTGTCATGAACGGAATAATGCCTGGTGATTGGGTGGGTGCCAGTCCAGGTAGCTAGATACGGAATGATACAGTCCTCACAAAATCCAGAACTCAAATGTAGGGTAGGGAGGGAGGGGGCCAGAGGAAACACCTTTCTTTGACATCTGAGGCGTGTTTGACTTCCATAGTTTCCTCTCTATTAAATATAAATTTGGTGAGTTGCAACTGTTCAGTGGTGTTAGTACTACTCTTCCTTCATCTGTGCCTCTACACTACCTCCCCAGCCCCACACAGCACACACACATTAGGCTACCACCATATCTGTCTGCCTGTAGAGGCAGAAGAAGCTCCTTGTGGCCTGTGGCCATGTACATAAATTGTAGACATTGGTGTCCAGTATTCCAGGTTGAATTTGAAACAGGTGTGGGGTTTGACACAAAAATCATATTATATATGAAAGTTAGGGAAAATGTGTATTCGAAATGAGGTTATCAGTGTACTAGGCAGGCTTAGGGGGCCTGGCCCGAAACTTGGAATGCAATTTTTCATAGAAACCCACAGTCGGTTTACAAATAGACTTTTCAAACACTGGCTAAGTGGTATCTGAAATTTTTGCCCATTGCAAGCCATGTCTTAAATTGCAAGCATGAGGGAGGTAAAAAGCACCCCAAATCAGAAGTTAGGAGATCTGGCACTAAATCCTATTACCTTGACAAACCATTTAACATTTGGATGATAGCTTCCTCTTTAAAAATACAGAGTTTGGATTATGTTGATCTAAGTTACATTTTAGCTCAAGATTCCTGAAGTTCACAGTGGTTTTTTAAATTTTTTTTAGAAAACAGAAACAAAAAAAACTTTTCCAAGCATGAATAAACATAATCAGCCCTGTTCCCCCTTGTAACTCAAATCATAGCAACAAGGAAGTTGAATTTCTCTTTTGAGAATTTTGAACCTTCTTCACATTCATTTTTAATTGTTTTGTTTTGTTTTAAAACATTATCATTTTAGGAAGTGAGGGGAGGGAAGGGATAAAGCACATGTTTTCAAAGGCTTGCAGTCTGCCTCTACCCCAGTCCAAGATTACATATGGATTTACCTTAATGACACTTCATGAGCCTAGGGAAAAGTGCTTGGGATTTCACCTTCACACTCAGTAAGGCTCATGAAGTGTCATTAAGGTAGTGAGGTGTCATGGTTAACAGCCTTACTGTCAGGGTCCAATTCTGGCACTACAACTTGCTAGCTGTGTAACCTGGCAGATTCTATAATCTCTACGGTCCTCGTTTTGCTCATCTGTAGAATGGAGTGATAAAAGTACCTACTTCATATGGTGGTTGTGGAGATTAAATGAATTAATATGTGTAAAGTGCTTACAACAGAACCTGGCTCAGAGCCAGCACCTAATACATTTAAATCATTATTTTTACATTGTGGTGCTTTATGATGGTTTCTGCAGCATTTACCAAATGCCAGGCAAATTATTGGCTTGCTTTCTGTGTGGGCTTTGTCAAAATGATTATGGATTTCAACAGGATATTTCAGGCAAGAAATAAATTGCTGAAGAGAAACCATTATGAGCTTGATAGTTTGCAGGACATTGTCTGTAAGAAAGAGAATCCAGCACAGTAATTAAGGGCATTTTTAAGTAGGGAAGTTGCAGCTTCTTGTAGTAGGCAATACTTAGAGAGGCATTAACCACCACTAACCAACAAGTATAGGAGAATGTATACAATTATAGCATTTGTAATC